TCCCACCCAAATCGATAATCTTGTTGATAGTACTGCAGCCTTCCTGTGTAATACACTTGATACCATTGCCCCTCTGAAAAAGAAGGTAGTGAAACAGAGGAGGCTAGCCCCGTGGTACAGCTTGCAGCTTCGCTCCCTAAAGCAGGCATCACGAATAATGAAAAGGAGGTGGCGCTCCACTAAGTCAGCAGAGTTTTTCATAGCCTGGAAAGATAGTTTAATAACATATACGAAAGTCCTTCATAGTGCCAGAACCGCATTTTATTCATCACTGATTGAGGAAAATAAGAACAACCCCAGGTTTCTTTTCAGCACTGTAGCCAGGCTGACAAAGAGCCACAGTGCTGTTGAGCTTAACATTCCCTTAGATCTCAGCAGCAATGACTTCATGAGCTTCTTTACAAATAAAATCACAACTATTAGAGAAAAAATTGGTCGGACCACTCCCACAGCTCTCACAGATGTGCCATCTACTACAATGGCTTTAGAAACATCTGTAAGACCTCATTTATACTTGGACTACTTCTCCCCTATAGATCTCTCTGAGTTGACCTCAACAATTGCTTCATCTAAATCATCAACATGTCTCCTGGACCCCATCCTGACCAGGCTGCTCAAAGACGTCTTTCCCCTAATCAACACATCCATACTAGATGTGATTAACCTCTCTCTATTAACAGGTTATGTTCCACAGGCTTTTAAACTTGCAGTAATTAAACCTCTACTCAAAAAGCCTACTCTTGACCCAGGTGTCCTAGCTAATTATAGACCAATATCCACTCTCCCATTTATTTCCAAAATCCTTGAAAAAGCTGTTGCAAAGCAGTTATGTGACCACTTGCACAAGAATGATTTGTTTGAGGATTTTCAGTCAGGATTTAGAGTCCATCATAGTACAGAAACCGCATTGGTGAAAGTCACCAATGATCTTCTCCTAGCCTCAGACAAAGGACTTGTCTCCATACAAAATTTGATTTGATTTGAGAGGTACAGAGACAAGGAGAAGGAAGCATGGAGGGAAGGAGAACAGAAGATCTATATATTTCTTGATCATTACACTGTGATAAAATTAACCAAAATACAAGCTAATGACAGCTGTGCTGTGAGATCCTCTATACTGACATTTAAAATGTGTGATGAGAAAGTAAGTTGGAGAGATATGGTAGTGTGCCCTGACTATAGTGATCAATCAATCAATTGGGATATTGGAAATCAAATATGTCAACAACAGGCCAATCTGAAAATACAGACAGGTCCAGCTCCGTGTGCATGTGTGTGTGTTTATATATACCTCCTCAGTCATCTCTTTGGACTGCTCCTCCACCTGCTGGATCACCTCATAACGGGTGCAGCGATAGTAGCCTCCTGTCGATGAGCTGTGCTTTTTCCACTCCTCCAGACAGATCCAGCAGAAATCATACTTGCACTATTGGGAGAGAATGGAAATATTAGACTTCAATCTGTCACATCAAAACCTGGATAGCCAATTACTTATTCTGTTCCAGGTACCAGAAAATAAGTGAGTATGTTATGGTATGTGAAAATCATCCCTCCCCACAGACATATGATGCAGTTGATTTTTGTGGATTGTCACCTGGCTATTCTGACACAGCAAAAACAGTGAGTATGAAAGAAAGTCTTAAAAAAGACTGTATACCCTTTTTACTACTCTGAAAAAAAACTGAATTATAAGTGAATGATACCTTTAGAGTTACCAAACCTGCTAACCTGACACTGAGGATCTCTTACCTGTCTGTTTGATCTATCTCAGTCTTGATACAATGTTTTTCTTTTACAAATGGCAGAGTTTAAAAGAGAACACAGGCAGTTGACAAATCCTCACAGCCTGCTGCCACTAGAAGGCACTCACACTACATGTGAGATCTTCAAGTCCCATTGGATATTGTAGAACAACTACAGCCACTCCAATCTGGAGCTTATTTGGGTGTAAGTAATTTCTCTCCCCATGTTTCAAGTACTTCTGTGTGTGACAAGTTAGGCACAGCAACACAAAACCCTAAAGGCTGAGACCTCTGTTGTCCTGGAAACACTATGCTTACATGACACTTGAGAAAAATCAATACAATGTGAAAGAGAGGGGGTATAAATGGAAGGTGAAAGACACGCAAAAAGACAGCCTGTAAAATGGAGAGACTTAAGATAAAAAGTGTGAAGCACACCAGAGGGAAGGAAATGGCAGTGAGAAGCCAAAGCAATGTTCCTTGGCAACAATGAGTCTTGTGTTTCCAAGCAACAGGGGTAAAGCCATTTCTTAACAGGTAATAACAGGTCAATAGGCTGAGCCCTCTATGGCCTCTCAGCTTGGGAAAAACTGTTCCATTCTTCCCAAACTAATCTCCATCTCTACTCAGCCTCTTTAAGTGGGATGGAGACAGTGACAGGGCTGTCACAGAGACAAAACCAGCCTGGCTGGATGACTGCACTGTGCTCCTTTCATAGCCTGCCCTCCAGCAAGTGGTAGTAACAGAGACAGTCAGGCAACATGACTGTGTGATTATCAGACTCACCCCTTTCTCCCTCCACCACTGACTTTTAAAAAAAAATCTCAATCACCAATGTAGTACTCTTTTGTCTGTCTCATTTAGACAAAAGCTGCTGATGGACTACAGGACATAACTAGTTTCGCAGCTGTTTAATTGTTTGTGACCATGACTGCATCATAAAACAGGATTTGTAAAATAATCACTTATAGAGATAACAAAACCTGGCAGCTTAAATGTGATTAGATATATTTTCTGAGTGTACAACATGAAAAGTGAGGCTCTATGTTAACTTATATACACACTACAGCATGTTGTAGTCAAGCTACCGCAAAATCCAGACTATAAGCCGCTACTTTTTTCACAAGCTTTGAACCCAGCAGCTTAAACAATGATGCGGCTAATTTATGGATTTTTACGGGCTAACAAGCTTCATGCCGCCAATACATTCAGCCTCGTCACATCAGACCAATGAAAATACCGAACAGCTCACAGTGGACCAATGAAACTGTTCGAATTAAATCAAATGCACTCACACTAAATTCTTCAGCTCAGTCATTTTGCGCTTCATGCACACACCCTCATCATGGAAAACGCACAAAGAAATGCATATGATGCAGCTTTCAAGTTAAAGGCGATCGATCTGGCTGTCGAAGAAGGAAATAGAGCTGCTGCATGTAAGCTTGGCATCAGTGGATGGATGGTGAGACGGTGGAGAAGGCAGCGTGACGAACTGACTCAATCCAAAAAAACGACAAAAGCTGTGTAACATCTTTCTGTGTAAATATCTCATGTTACAACGTGGACACCTGCGGCTTATAGACAAGTGTGGCCTATATATGTACAAATTTTTTCTTCTTATTAAATTTAGTGGATGCAGCTTATAGTCAGGTGCGCTCAACAGTCCGGATTTTACGGTATGTTGAATTTAAAATAATAGAGCGATGCCTTTGTTCTATAGCGATCCTATTAATTTACTAGAACTAATGTAATTTCAACAAAGAGCAAACATAGGTCAGTTGTCAGTTTTGCTATTCTGTAAACTAATTATTAGCAAGGCAGAGTTCATTGAGGCATCTTGCTGAGAGCTTGCTGATGTGTGTTATTAGAGGGGGATTTTTGTCCTGTTATCAAAAGGTGAAATAAGTCAAAGATTATATTCAATCTAAGACAGGTGTCCTTGGAGATCAGTCTTGAATGTCTTTAACTACTGATAACAGTGTTCTTAATATGATAAAAGGGCATATGATTTTCCCCGGCTCATTACAGAGGGCAAAAGTGAAAAAGAAAGAAAGCAGCCTGATCAGTCGTAATAGATTCCAGTAGAAACAGAAAACAATGGGATTTGTATGATTTAAATGGCTGACTGTGAAGACTACGCTTCACTTAACACAGCAAAAGCAAAGAAAAACAGATATAAAGTGTCAGGAACATGTGTCTCATCGATTCAGTGTGGACTGACACATTTGATATGATTTCTATCTGCAGCGTGAGACAGGCATGAGATGCATGTAGAAAACACTTCCAAAATACTTTCAGTCCAGATTAGAGGTTATGGCTACTTTTTGAGTTTAAATTTAAACAGCAGTAGATTGTGTCCAATACACACATTTTTCATTCAGGGAAGTTGCCCAAGCAGAAAACAACCTACTCATTAGTGGCAAGAACAGCCTCTCAAATACCTACTGCATTAATAAGACAGGTGTGTGAACCCCCCAGCCCAACTCACCTTAGCACACTGCATGTGGTTGCAGCCCTCATTTTTCTGTATTGGGGACTTGCAATTGGCACAGGATTTGGAGTTAGTGAGCAGCCATAAGCAGTTGGCTGCATCTTCGTAAGCTTCGCTCACACCAGCCACTTCCAGAGGAGGAGGGGAAGATAAACAGAACAAATAAAGGCATAATGAGACAGAATGAGAATGGCTATTACCACAGCAGCTAAACAGACCACTGCACTGAGTGGAAAATTGTCCTGCTTGACTAATGTGTATTGCTTATATATTTTGCTAACATCTCTCAAGATGCTCTTGCACCCACCCACCCACACACACACCCACACACACCCACACCCACACACCCACACAGAGAATAATTGGCTATTATCAAAGCACCTCTGATGTGCTGTTTAAAATGCCAAGATAAAACAGAATCTTGGGAAATCGAAGGGGAAATGGTTCCAAAACAAAATAATTGCTTTTATCTATCTAATGTCACATCAACAAACTGGCACTTTGGAGTGACTTAGGTCATCTTAAATCATCTGTTAGATTGCCCACAGTCCAATTACTGCTTCTAAAGATTGTGTACTTTCAATGAGTGGGTTGTTCATTTTAATTAATAATTTATTATCAATGTGGTGGATTTTAATTGGCTTAGTGCTGAACACTTTGTAATTACTGTGGTTGAGTTCCAAACAATTTAGCTCCAAATCAATCACTTGACTACAACCCCAAAAAATAGAAAAAGAAGCAAATTCAGCCAAGAATTAGCTAAACTCAACTTCTCAGTAGCTTGGTACAATTATACTGGTATAAAGACTGAAAGATAAATTAAAATAAGTTAAATATGCAGAGACTCTGTAATTATTCTTTAAAAACATTCTACATTATGTCTAAAAAGAGCATTAAATTGGAAGTTTAAGTCAGAACACTATACAGTTTATAAATGCAGCTGTTACTTTGTCTGAAACACACCCAAAAAGTAAAAGAAGTATATTAATATTAATACTTACATTCCTCAGGTCTCATCTCAGTGACTTTCTGTAGCCACATCTTCCAGGTCTCACAGTCACAGGGTTCATGGGCCTCGCCTCGACACTCCCTGGAATACACAAAGACAGTTACAGGCTGGAGATGAATTCAACTATACTGAAGCAAACATTCTGCTTCTTGACTCCATATGAAATTAAGACAAATAATGAAAGCACATTCCCAGAGACACTGTCAAGACTGTAAACATCATAATCTTTATCTGCCTTTTAACTGAACCCATTTCTCATGTCAAGGGAAATCTACATGTTGGACCTGTGTCAGTTTCGATTATCAAATGAGTGAACTTGACAAGTGAACCTTAAGGCCACTTTCAGGAACCAGCGTAGTGAGGTATGTATGCCCAGCAGATCCTTTAAGTCGTGAGGTGGGGCAGGGCCTCCATAAATTGGACTTGTTTTTCCAGCAGAACCCACAGAAGCTTGATGGGATTGAGATCTGATCATTTTGAAGGGCTAAGCAACACCTTGAAATGTTTACATATGTGGTATGTGTCAAAGTAACATCCATATGAATGCCAGGACCCAAAGTTTCCCAGCAGGACATTGCCCAGAGCATCACATTGCCTCCATCGACTTGCCTTCTTCCTGGTGCCATCTTGTCCTCAGGTAAACAACAATGGTCCACATAATGTAAAAGAAAATGTGATTCATTACACGAGGACACCTTCTTCCATTGCTTCATGGTCCAGTCTGACACTCATGCGCCCACTGTAGGAACTTTCAGCAGTGGACAGGGGTCAGTATGTGTACCCTGTTCTACACAGCCCCATATACAGCGAGCTGCAATGCACTGTGTGTCCTGCAACCTGTCTTTTTCAGCAGTTTGGTGCTACAGTAGCTCTCCTGTGGGATTGGACCAGCTAGTTTTCGCTCACCATGCACATCAGTGAGCCTTAACCCTGTCACCCGTTCATTGGTTGTCCTTCCTTGGACCCCTTTATGTGGGTAATGACCACTCTACATAGAGTGGACCTGCTGTTTTGGTGATGCTCTGACCAAGATGTCTAACCATCACAATTTGGCCCTTGTCAAAGGCACTCCGATCTGCATGCTCAACCATTTTTCCTGCTTCAAACATGTGTTGCTGCCTAATATATTCCATCCCTTGACAGGTGCCATTGTAATGAGATAATCAATGCTATTCACTTCACCCTCCAGTGGTTTTATGCATCCAAGCAAACATGGTGTACATATGGGAACAAAGAGTAGTAAAAATTATTTATAACTATTTATACTATTTTCCACATTTAACAAGAAAATTAGGTTAGGATAGCATAAAGACTGCTATTAGCTATTCTAATTTGGATCATGAACCAGTACCTAGTTTACACCAAAGTCCTTGGTGTTCTAATCAGCCGGCTAGATTTCTGTCTTATGCTCTCTGATTTGTTAGTGCTGTTTGACAAACTCCAGGCCAGCTGTTGGACACCTTTTACTGTAGCACTAAAGTATATAAAATATTTACCAGCAGAAGAGGTGGCCCTTGCCACAATCTACAGCAGGAGCCTGAAGGAATGGAAAGCTAAGAGTATCCGAGGTGGAGGTCCCGGGACCCTGAGTGTTCAGTCGCACCGCCCTTTCACACCCCGCCTCGGGACACCAGTGGATTGCTGGATTGTTCTCCACAAATGCCTATAACAAAAGCAGAAACATAAGGCTAAAATTAATGGTCAATTCAACAATCTATTTTGTGAGGGTGACTGTATTGTATTTGTTTCTGCCACAACATTGGGAAGATCACTGACATAATCTTGTTGGTGTTAATTTCCTTTTTAACGATTGCAATGGTTCACATGCATGTGATCTGAATAAATAAAATATTTTTAAAAAGTTTAAAGAGTATGAGTAATAAAGATTAAAAAAAATATTTCAAAATGACTGTCTTGGGAAGGGTGGACCTCTTTTCAGCAAGTGACTTCACTGGTTGGTTTAGAGGTAAATCAGGCCATCACCAAGTGGAAGGGAGGCAAAGTGGCAAAGACGTCACTTTTTTGCAAGTTTGTATTTTTGTTTGTTCAACAGCTGCCCAATAAACTGCTAATACAGTCTCTGGTACTGGCAGATTTTATTGTATGCGTGATTAATAAGCATTATGGTTGTTGACTTGTCACTCTGGTCAGTTATGTATGTGTGAAAAGCTCAGGTCAGCCCTTGTGTAAACAGTAACTGACATGGGAAAAAATCCAGTCAAAACCAAAGTGGAACAGACTACATCTGCCCTTCAAATTACGCAGGATCATGTGTAAATCCCAGTTCCCTTATTTTATCATTCCTCACTCGACCCAGAAGTTCATCTGGTCAGCCATCTTGAAGAATGTTAAAAAACTCTTGTTCCTGCTCTGAAGAGCAAGGAGCAATGAGGTTGCCTGGTGGAGTCTTGAGCAGGACACATAAGAGCATCCTATGTGAAAGTCCTTTATGAACTAACACACCTCTGTGTAGGAAATCTGTTGGTGATTGGACCCTTCAGAAAGTCCTTTATGAACTAACACACCCCTGTGTCGGAAATCTGTTGGTGATTGGACCCTTCATATGAAGGAGCAGAGGAAAGGACATCTCGTGTCTGTAAAATGTTTCTCCTTGATTCCTCTCTCCTCACATTTTTTCCACATCTTACATGGACTAAGACAAGAAAACGATGCAAGTAAGGAAAACATGGATGCAATTAAGGGAAATGGGATTTACCCTATGTCCCCTGCCATGATGCACACCTTCAGCTAGGAACTAAAGTGGCAGATTAGTGCTGTCAAAAATATTGATTTTTCGATGGACAGATTCTGAATATTTGAAAATGTTTCAACACTCATTTTACGTAGTATTGATACACCGATACCACCTGCGCTTTCTGCCTCTCTCATCTCTCTGACAGCGAATTTACACACGTGCGCGCACACACACACACACACACACACACACACTCAGGTGCGGTGTCTGCAACCCCTCCTCCTGTCACTCACTGACTCACAGTGCTGTCTGCATCTCGTCATTCGTCTTGCTCCTGTTGAATTTTACACTAACAACAGACTGAGGTATATTACAGGGTTTGCTATGGACTTAGCTCATTACATGTGACAAGAGCAGAGCCTGCGTGACCGTTTTTGGTTGACAAAGAAAACAGCATTGCTCTGTAGTATTGCTATACAGCAGTACTAACAACAAATTCAGCAAACGCCTGGAGGACCAGCACACCGACCTCTATAAAGATTTTCAAGAGGTTGGTGACAGCTCCCATTTCAGCATCACTGAAGCATTTAACAAGATGCCCCAGTAAACTATTAAGTTTGTTGTCTTGTTGTTGGCCCAACTGTCATTTGTAATTCACAAAGCTAAGCTAATCCCCCTCAGAGCTGTCAGGCCTGAGGAATCTCAGACAGCAGAGATTCAGTTGATAGGAAAAAAATTAATTAGTAAATTAAGTTAGATGCCATTGTGCCTAACAGACAGTATGTGTGACAACCTCAGAGGATCTTGAACATGTGTACTAGCCCAAAAAAGAATATTGTTCTGATTAATGTGGAAAAATGACTAAAGTACAACCATTTTGCCTATCGCTAATATCTGCTACAGTCATTCTACTGTTCTCTGCTACTAGCCAAGAAAAGTCACACCCCATTGTCAAGTTATAGTCTTGTTATACAGGGTGGGTGAAAAGTAACTTGCCATTAAAAACTGACTATAGAACTTGTAGTATCACTGGATGAAAACAGCCTCTAAACAGACTATAGTAAATAGGATTTCATATGAAATCTGAACTATATGGCTCACGTTTCATGTCCAATAATATCTCTTTACTTCTACTGGTGTTTGCGGCTTTGTGATATTCCATGTCAACCAAATGATGACCAGTGATCCCAGTGTTTGCTCTACATTGAAACTGAACTGCAGGAGTGTGTGTTTATTTCTCAGAGTGCTAATATAATTTCAACACTCTGTGTGGGCTCACGGTCACTGTGTTAACAGCTACGTTTTCCATCTCATTTACCTTAATGTCAAACTGCAGATAGCGCCTGTCCATCTCTCTAGACACCACACTCTCTATGACTTCCACAGGAACTAGCTGGTAGCAGTCGTAGGCTGGGCAGAAGATGTTGTGAGCTTCACCTTCTTGGATCTTGAGATTTAGAAACCTGAGGAGGTATACATAAACTTGAGACAGTGAGTAGCTACACAGAAACCTATGAGCAATTTCAGTGGATGAATATTAAAGACATCCTAATCCAATCCACAGAATCCCCAAGCCAAACCAAATTACAGCATACCCTTCCCAGCATGCTCTGCAGAACTCGTGGCCACAGGCCATGTCAACCGGTTCCTCAAAGACTGAGATGGAAGACATGCAGATACCACACTGTAAGACAAAAAGTAAAAAGATACAATCTGACTTAAGGCCACAGTGCAAACTGGTTCAAGATCTAGAAAAATAACCGCTGCCATAAAATATTCTGAGCAATTCTTAAAACTCTCTGTACACTTTCAAAAGGCCCTCCATTACAATTCATGTATTATCTGGCATAACCCTTCGAATGAAGACCCACACACTTTTTTGAGAGAGACTGGCAGTGTGCCTAAACATACAGAATGGTAATCATAATGGTTGATTCGGGACAAAACAGAAGTGAAACCAGGCCACGACGATGACGACCACTCCTTAGCATGTGGTTTACTGATTCCTATTCTGTAATCAGATGCATTTTATCACACTCACAGAAACTTGAAACACAAACAGACACAAACAGGGACAAACACACACTCAACTTGTTACAGTGAAAGACTGACCCTTACAAAGGAGGCAGTGTAGTTTGACAACTTAAGTACTGATTTGTGAAAGAGCAGAATGTGATACAATCAGCTGTAACCTTTAAACAGGCCCTTGAATAGACCCGATCGACTGGCACAGTACAGTTCTTAGGAGCAGAGGAAGCCCTATTTGCGTTTGTGTGAGAGGCTGCTAGCAATATAATGTTGGGGGAAAAAAATGCAACATTATGTGCTTCAGTGCTAATTTTATCCTCTGCTGCTATAGTAGCTTCTTGGCCAGGAAAACATTCTGCTCCCTGGGACCACTCATCCTGAGGTTCATTCATCTGATGGCTCTTCACTGATTACTACAGTTAAACTTTCTGTGCAACTGTTCTTGGTAAAACTTGATTCCAGTGCAATGTTGCAAGTGGCACATATGAACTGTGCCCTTGTAGAAGAACTAAGCCCACTTCAGTTTCTCTCTTTACTCCTTATTTAATCTGGCAAACACTGGCGAAAGGGAGCCTAAAGGTGCCTCTCACCAGAGAACACTCCTCATCGGCAGGCATGAGGCTGATTTGGTCTGAGGAGGTGATAGAGGAGCGGGTGGTGCGTGGCGTCCGGGGTGAGGTCAAGGTGTCCCAGGCATTACAGCCACTTGGAGGTGGGTTGGGCATATGAACCCCTGAGCGTTGGCAACATTCCTCCGCATTGTTCATCCAGGCCTCTAGGAGCTTCTCTCTGTCCCAGTCTGATGCAAAAAAATAAACATATAAGCGAGGAGAAAAAAAAGTTAATTAAAAAATGTAATCAAAGTAAATGAGAAACCTAAAAGTTTTTTATGAGCACATAACAATGAAGTATGAAGAACAAGTTTGGATGACAGTAAAGAGGGAAAAGAGATTTCTGCTGTCAGACAAATGAACAATGTAATAAAAGTCTGGGACATAAAACTTGGCCAGTAGGGTTGGTCCTTTAAAGAAACATGAGCTCCAGAATTTTTAAATACAACTTCCTTCATCCATGTGACAGACACAAACACCCAGTTACACAAAACCTCTAAAAACATAGCACCTCTGATCTAGAATCACAGGGCTGATACAAAAACTGTGTATTCTAATCCAAAAACAACACATAGAAGAATTTCCATTCAGGCTAGGATTCTTATTTCATCCATGCAAGGAAGTATTCACATTATTCAACATTTTTTTCTGTTCATCCCATCTTATATTTGTAAGGACTGCTTAAGCACAATGGTGAATCCACCAAAACCCACACGAATCCCACAGCAGTGGCAACTAGACCACCTAAGCCTTTCAAACTCCAAACACCACAGACCTGCTGCCATCTGGTTTTCTGTTTTAGAATAGCTGTTTGATATCAAAGAACAGGTCTGAGAGCTATTCAGTAAAAATGCTGTGTGACTTGTGGACTGTGCCTGAGCCCAAATGTTCCTACAAAAAAGTCCCCCCATCCTCCCGTCCCCCAATAAAATAAGGAACAAGAAGGTCAACTGTGCAATTAGGCCATTATCAGCCGGGAGACACATTTCCTCACCAGTCAAAAGCCTCAGACTGTAAATGGCCTCGTTTAGATAATGAATATTGCAACAATTTCCCTCATCTCCATTAAATTAAAATTCATCAATGACTATGACCCTATCTTCATGCCTTTGGCCATTAAGGGGATTCTGAAATTAAAAGTTTTCACATTTACTCTTAAATATCAAAAATTAGCTGGGAAATACAAATGATCACAAGTATAGAAAGAGCGACAGGCTGGCATTTTAGTGGGAAAGCACCAAGAATTGTGATAAGAAAACTGAAAATATAATTATTATTATGTTTTAACAAGAAATTGATATACAAGTCTAAAACCCCCTTTTCTGGAAACTAACAAATAAATACTGAAATGGACCATGCCTATTAAACAGACAGACAGACAGCATTCCCATGATAGAGGTGAGTAAATATAGCACCATTCTGGGGTCACTCTCCCCTCTAAGCTTCCAAAAGTATGTCTGATATGTAGCACACACAGCTGCACAGCCAGCCACTCAGTCCACTGAGTTAGGGTATTTTAAAGAAAATCAACCCGCAACTGTGACACATTTCTGAAGTTTCCTAACATAATCTGAGGTAATTTCAAATTAGGTGGAGTAAAGGTTTTCATCATCTTAAAATCAAATGACACTGTTAAGTGAAGCTATTCAGTTATTCAGTATGTGACTGATGTTTGTGGGCATGAACAATGTGGCGAAATGAAATCCTTCACACTCCCCAAGTTAAAAGGCTTTCAGTGATTTTACCTATTGGTAATAAGTGTTTCGGATTGATTTGTTGTTAGATATGTAAAACATATTTGTTAACTTGAAACTGACTGGACAGAATTATATGTACTACACACCATCGATCCATCCATCCATTTCCTTCTGCTTATCCAAGATCGGGTAGTAGTGGCAACAGGCTCAGCAAGATAGTCAAGACGTTCTTCTCCCCAGCAACATTTCCCAGTTCCTCTGGCAGGATTCCGAGGCATTTCCAGACCAGATGAGATATATAATCTCTCCAGCGTGTGCTGGGTCTACCACGGGGTCTCCTACCAGTTGGACATGCACGGAAAACCTCCAAAGAGAGGTGCCCTGGAGGCATCCTGATGAGATGCCCAAACCACCTCAACTGGCTCCTTTCAATGTGAAGAAACAGTGGTTCTACTCTGAACCCCTACACACTATATGAGCTACACCTTGTCACTCTAGACTACTTTCATACATTGCATGCCTGGAATATAATCTGTAAAGACACACTTATGGGTATGTCCATCATAGAGACCTCCCGAAACATGACAGGCCATGTAACATTCGTCCCTGGTTCTGCATTTGTTTCCACTGTGGAGAAATTACACTGTGCAAAATTTCAGCACCCTTCTGGGGGTAAGTACAGAAATGAAGTTCCAGGAAAGTACAGTGGGTACAGACAGAGCTGTAGCCCGTGATTGATTTTATGTCAGCATCTTCATATCTCAACTATTAGCATTATAAGCACTGCATGTAAACACACACTCGCTGGTTTAGACGTGAAACTATCGAGGACTTCACTTGTTGGTTTACAGATAAAACAGGGACTTGAGCTAGCGGACTAAAGGCAAAGCAGTGAAGATGTCACATTTCTGGAAGCTTGTGTTCTGCTTGTTCAGCAGCTGTTTGATAAACTGCTCATACAGTCTCCATTAATGGCAGATTTAGCTGCACTAAGGAGCACTGTGAGCCTTGACTCATGTCCTCTGCTCAGTTGTATGTGTGTGAGTGTTGGCATGTGTGTGTGTGGAGCACAGCCTCGCCCTTGTCTAATTAGAAAAAGACACAGGGAAAAATAATTGAAAAGCAAAGCCGAACACCCCACATCAGCCTATGAGGGTATGCCAGGTGAAGGTTATGGGAAGCAGAGTCCTGGACTGGGTCAGGTACCCACGAAAAAAAAATGATGTGTAACAGATGCTGTGAATCAGTATTACTGCTAGTTAAGATGAGAGCTAGCAAAAAATGTATGTTTTTTAAGGTTAGATGTCATTTCTGGTTGAGAATGTAAATCAATATGGTGGATAGTTTAAAAAATGTATTTTTTTAAGGTTAGATGTAATTTCTGGTTAAGAATGTAAATCAATATGGTGGATAGTTATGATGTCTCCAAGTAACTAGCTAGGGTTTGTTCAAGAAAATAATCACAGAAAACAAAATGCTCTCCAAGTAACTAGCTAAGAAAATAATCACAGAAAACAAAATGCTACAGTCAGTGGGAGAATGCATTAAAGCTGCTCTAATACCATTCATGGTATTATGATTATGATGATCTTCACTGTCAATGGGTCTCTTTCACCAACCGTTAAGAACAAACGTGTTTGTAAAACCTACTTACAAAGTTTTCACAAAGATATGGGCATTCACTAATGTTTTATTTGGGATTTGTTCTTAGGTCAGAACAGAAACTATGCACACTCAAGAGTGCACTTCTGCACATTTGAGCACTGACATTTGTGTGAAATAACTGGTTATTTAGTTTTCTTCAGTTCTCCAGTTATGTGATATTATAAGATTTAAGTTACAATAACAGTTTTTTCACATTATTTCATTATTTATTTAATATTTTTCCCATTATTTTACAAAGTATTGTGGTCTTTTAAAAACACTACACTAAAAATTACAGCAAGCAATTAAAAGCTTAAAAACAAACAATTAAAGTTAATCTAAATTTAACAGTGTGAATATTTGTATCTTAGAACTAGGAAAAGCAAACACATTTATGTGTATGTCTTCATTTCTAATTTCTGTTAATTTCTTTAAATGTCTCTTAGATATTTTGGACAGTGTGTAAGCATCTGGTTGTCCAGCACCGCATCTGAGAACAATGGCGCATTCCTGGCTTTCTCTTTTCTGCTTGTGTGTGAAATGTGTGCACGTGGCCCTGCAGTCTCGTGCCTTTTTATGGGCATTGGTGGGATGTTAACCTATGCTATTAAGAGCAACTGGCACATGCTTTCAACTTAATAACACATGGGATTCATCGCTATAAGAACACAGGTGGGAACAATTCTGCAGTTTAAGATTGCGTTGATGAATCAGATGCAGACTTTTTTAGGACCTTTCTTAAGAACAACCTATGAAATAATTTAAGAAAACACTTAGGAAGATGAGACTCATTGTTCCTATGACAAATGATGTTTTAATTATTCACAACATTATTTTTTAAAAGCAGCACAATGCATTTGTGGATGCAGATATCCACAAATGCATTGTGGATATCTGCAAAAAATGTATTAAATGATTTAAAATAATTTTGTAAATGAAAATGACTAGTAACAACTAACTTCAGAAATGCATGTTCTTCTTGATGATAACTGCTATTTCAGATATCCAGAATAAAAATTCTGGATGCACATGGATGGCAAAAGTGATATTATTTGTCCTAGAAAGAATGACGTTGTGGATATCTGAAATGTTCTTCACTAGGAAGACCTGAATTACAGGTATCTGCAATATATATCCATTCCATTGTCTAAATGTAAAAATGTCTTGCCGTACACAGTCACATACACACAGGCCTTCACAGTGATGCATAAAATACCCCAGAAAAAAAAATCAAGTGGTGTGGGCTTTTTAAAACTCAGGATATAATAAGGGACTTAAATGCACTAAATTAGTTCGAACATAGATTATTGCAATTTAAGCAATAAAAATGTTGACTTTTCTAAAGAGGAAACCAATTAGAATTAGTTATTCTTTTTATGAGATGTCTTATTTTCTATTTTGGATATTTACTCTTGCTCTTTAATAATGCAAAATAGTGTAGTTTCTTATCCAATTACTCAATTAATCAAGGGATTAATCAGAATACTCAACTTCTAAAATAATCAACAGCTGCAGCCCTCTTGTATACTGTACATAATATTGTTTTAACCACTAAGCTACCTTGATGGTCATTTTAAAGGTCCATTAATCAAGATTTTACATGCAGTCTGATAAATCAAGTAAAAAATGAGCCTGAGTCTCACTAAACCCTCTAGCAGCTGAAAAGACATTAGGTAGAGTACCTTTAAGAATTAACAGATACTAGCATGTGGCCAAGTGTTTGTCTGTGTGTGTTTAGTAGTACCATGGGCCCGAAGCAAAGCCTCTGCAGTGAAGAGAGGGGCCTGAAGCATATCTGCTGTTTCCACTATCAGCATGTCCTTCAGCCTCCGTAGGTCTTGAGGCCGCAGGCCTTCATACAGCTAGAAAAGATGGCAGGGGAAAGGAAAGGATAGAGTAGAGACAAGATGCAGACAGGGTGATGACAAGAGGAGAATAAGAGTGGAGAGAAGGAACAGAGATAAGGGAGCAAAAAGGAACAGGACAGGTTGGCAAAGAAAATTAAAGAGTAGAGAGAATGTAAAAGGGTGAAATCAGGGGAAGAGGCCGAAGGGAAGGAAAGGGAATAGAAAGAAAGATAGGAAAAAGAGAACAGAATTATTAAAAGAAAATCAAATAAAGACGATTGGTGACACGTGACTAAGCCCGGCTTAATGAGCAAACAGACTGTTGATGATAGAAGTCACATGCCTTATGGCACACGCATTTGTGTGATTAATTTGTGTGTGCATGTGTGTCTGTGTCTGTGTGTGGAAAGTGATGGGCTGGCCAGGACATTTCTAGCAACATTTTAAACACTGGACTAGAGTCAAATAATGCCTGATTTAAAGAAGACCTACAACAACAGAACAACAAACAACAAATGATGTACTCTAAGGCTTAGGGTTTGTCACCCCTGTGTGGGTTTGAGTATCTAGGGTAGCTTACTCAAAAGAGTTTTATCTAAAAGTGCAATAACAATGATGGGTCTTTGTTAGATTTTTCAACAATAATGGACGAGATACACAGACATTTGGTATGGACATGTTGTGGCCGACACAAGTTGATGGTGACAAACTGAAAGCTGTATACCCACTACCTCTTGATATATTATTCTGTACCTCTCTTCGGTCGAGAGCAGCATACTCTGCCTCGATACCCTCTGCCTCAGGGGCAAGAGAGAAGACCATCTGCGACTCTAGGCACAAGGCCAAGTCCTTGTGGTGCTGCTTCTCTGCACAGTCACATGGAGTCTCACGGTTTTCATTCTCTGCAAACAGGTCCGCATCTCTCTGCAGCAGGAGCTGAGCAAGTGAAAAGAAAGGCAAATTTTGTCTTAGAAAAATGGGCAGATGCTATATAGTTAATGTATTACAGTTCACTGGTTATATATGTAGTTTGATATACCTCAAACTGTAAAAATATAATCACAATTATTCAGATATAAAAATCATGTGGTCATGGATGTTACTTGTAATTCCCCAGTTTCAGAACCCATAAGCAGATTTATGCATTTGTGCATAAACATAAGTGTTCACTTTTAGAAGTATAGTGCCCACAAGTCCAAACCACACATTCTGAAGAGATGTTTTGCTCTGAGGAACTCAGAATATTCATGATTTAAAAAACTAAACTTTGATTCCATGCATTGAGGGGCAGAATGACTCCCCACCGACCCAATGCATTTTTCATCTCTATCATTTTCCCTGTTGTCCATATTGTAAATACATTTATTTAGCTTAGAACAGGCTATTTCTCATGTAAGCTTTGTTCTCTTTCATTTCCAGTAACTCAGTGAACTGCGGAATTCCATTCCTTCAGATCGAAACTGAATTAATAACTTGGATTAATAAATTCATCATTAGAGTGTAGTCTTTTATAAAAGATTTGGTGCCCTAATCTAACAAGGTATTAAAATATTAAATTAATATTCATAAAGTGTAGTCATTTGTCCTACAGAAGTGCAACATTTCTTAAAAGTGGTGACACAGTGTCTTGACTGTTACTGAGGTGCTTCTGAACATTGAAATATGAGCATTTCTCACAAAAGCTGAGTCTCTTTAACAGCACAAATGTTGCATAACTATGAATCAAAAGAATTGAAATAAATGATAGTGGATTGTAATTTGATCATCTACAATTAGTTGTGCAGACACAGTTGAATCTATCTAATAAGTGTTCATACTGTACACTAAATCCTTAATCATGGGGATTACACAGCTAGGTTTATACACAAAATCCATTCCAAAACTAAGCTCAAGTCTTCACAAAGGCACATATTGGGAAACACACCATAGTAATTTATTTGACTTTTATATGTGATGCATCCTATCCAAGGAATTAATAAAGATGTACTGTTGCAGACAGCACGGTCCCACAACTACATCCAAGCCGGGCTTTGATCAAACTAAATATAATGGATGTGACCACACGGCCATGCAAATTATCATCCATTTACAATGGCTGCAACTGGATCTACAACAAGGCCATACACCAGCGACTATCCTGCAAATATTCATAGTACAAAAGGGCAGATATTGAATAATGTGTGTAAACATCGGGGCTCCTCTGGCCCCTTTTATCTTCCTTCCACTAAAATTGTTCCCTGTCTTAGTGAAGCTCCTCAGTTTCCATCTATGAAGCCTTTGATTTTTATCTAATAAATGTCATACTAGTGAATATTTTACATTAGCCCAGACTGAAAAGTATGCATAGGACTCTGGAATCTCACCTCAACACAAATCTTCATGCCTGAGGCAGCAGCGTAGTGCAGACAGGTGTTTTTCTTGTTGTCGGTGGCATTGATATCAGCACTCTCATACTCTCCATGGTCCAGCTTTGCTCCGGTCCATGACAGGATCATATGTAGACATTCTGCCCGACGCTGTTCATCCTCATATGGCCGTGAAATCCGAGGTTGCAGTGCCCCTTCCGAGGTCAGGATCTGGGGCCCCATGCAGAGGAGGTGCAGAGATGTCTCATTGTGTACATTGCGCTTGTTAGGATTTCCATCTTTGTTTAGGAGAAAAGACCTAAACGAATAAGACATGAACAGGAATAACAGTTTATTTCAGACCTTTGCTCATTGGAAATGGTTTTGCATTGAAGGCAAGCTAGAACATTTTACTTCTCATTTCCATTTTGGTCAACAAAGTAATATAATGGGGTTTTCAGCTTTGTCTATATGTGTTTTGTTTTGTTTTTTCTTCTCAATTTGTAAGCTTATTTGGGACCACAACAATTTTTACAACATAACACAAAAACCATAACATCAGACCATAACAAACCTAAAAGGTGGAAATAGCCAGTCTTCTGTTTAGTGTAACTGTATATTCCACTGCGTTTTAGCCATGTGCTTCATAATATCTGAAATGGAATCTACAGGATTACATGGTACAGACCCCCTGTGAAAAGGCACATTACACCTCAGGTAAATTATAATCCAAATTAGTTAATCAGTCTGGGTGTCAGAATTTCTGTGCTTTATGTGAAAACTATAATCATCAGAATCATATCTATCCATCCAGCTGTCCAGTCATAGATTTTCCTTCCATTTGACTATGCCATTGCCTGCTGCCATTTTACAACCCCCTGCATTTTTTAAAGTCATGTAGAAACACAAAATTGAGAAAGCATCTGATAAGCTCCGCAAGGAGAGAGCCTGAGCGGAGCAAAAACAAACACACACAAGGCTGCTAGCTTGTGGGATGAGGAGCTCATGGAGCTCCATGCTG